ACATGTTGCAAAAATAAAATCATTACATTTGCTATGATAAAGTCCGTCAGATGACAAAATGTGTTGGCTAAGACTAAGTTTAGTTTTCTTCATCTTTTTATTCATTTTGTTTCTCCTACAGATATACTCCATCTGATAATATTCACATCATATATATATAAAATAAAAAAATTAATGGTCAGACTTGAACTAGACCAGTAAACAGTATGACAAAGTCCTCAATACATGTATAAAAAATAAAAATTGAACATGTAGTGCTTTCAAGCATAATATATATATATATATATATATATATATATATATATATATTCACCCACAGACAGGCTGTTTCACTGTATCACAGCTCCTCAGTGTGGGTAGATATCCAATTTCTTCAAGGTGGGATCGTAACTCAACTGATTTGACATCAGTCAGATATCTTACTTCTAGGCCATCATTGCATGGTAGAAAGGAAAGGAATTTTAACATTTTTCTCTATACAAAATACGTCAAGAACTCAATTCAATTTACTTGAAGAGTACTGTATTTTAAGATTATAAATCAAATTCATTTAGTTACAGGAAGCACATTAATCAAATAATACAATTAGCATATTTCTATTAAAATATACTGGTATTATTGTTGTGTCCATTAACAATAAACTACTATTCAGTTTAAATAGGGTTATTGCTATATAAAAGGAACTCTCTGGATTGGGGTCCCTTTATAGGGACTTCCGGTACATTTTTTGTAAATTCACCTTCGAGTTTGTGGCTCATTTAAAACACAATAAATGGCGACGAGGATGATGACAAAATTATCTACGAGCTAGATAAAACAGGTTTGGATTCACACAACCTCACCACCATCGAAAAAAAAAAAACTACGATGTCGTTACCCGACTTCGAAAGATTTATCGTCCACGGCGAAGAGAATACAGCTGGGACAAGATGGAAAAAATGGATTTCCAAGCTGGATAATCTATTTGTAGCATGGATATCAACTTATTACTGACATTACCGATATTTATGACACCATGACGGATTAACTCTATGACTCCATTTTCGTCAGAAAACAAAGGAAAAAAAGTATGGATTCAATATTTGTGGGTTTCATAACATAAAATGAAATCCTATAAAATAAAAGAATTCTAAAAAGACAATCTAACGCTCACACAGCTACTTGACGAGGCTCGTGGTATTTTAAAATAAAACCAGTTGAATATTCAAAAAATATGCCCAGGTCAACAGTCTAACCAACATAGACCTCACTGCCCGGAATGTCAACACTAGCAGCCGAATTCACATTCAAAAAACCAAAACAAAATCCTCCCCAGGCTCGAAAAAAAATTGATTCAATGTACAGCCTCACCCCAGATCAATCTGTCCAGCAAATGTATAAAATATCCATATATATATATATATATATATATATATATATATAATATTCATACAGGTGCTTCAGTAAATATTCTGGGGAAATCGACATACTTAATCAGTTCCCTTTCTGTTATTGGATTCTTTCAAACAAACATCAGCTTCGTCAACAGTCACGGTATTGCACACAAATGGATGCACCAACCTGATGAGCAGTAGTCAGCTCAACAACTAAACCTGATCCATTTTTTCTCTACAGACAGGCCCAAAAATATCATCAGTTCCCTGCTTGTTTGATGGTGGATGGGTTGCATGGGCAAAGTAACTCTCCACATTGACACATCTGTAACCCCAGTCTCAACTGATTTGACATCAAAAAAGGTCAGATATCTTAAAACTTCTAGACATGCCATCATTGCATGGTAGACATGAAGAATGCAAATCAGCTAGAATTAGAATATTTTTACCACCCATGTAGGTCTCCGGAGATACAAGAGACTACTATTCGAGTCATTTTCATCTATAAAAATCTCTCAGGATGATATCATTGTTTATGGAAAAAACCAAACAGATAAATTCTATGGTCATGTATTTGAGAGACTGGAATTTCTCCAGACTTGGTAAAATTCAATCAGTGATTATTCGAATTCATGACACAGTATGTTGCTTCCCAGGATATGCCACTATCACAGAACCCCAAGAAATTTTAACAAAGAAATCAATCTGGAAATGGGAAAACATGAGCAAAGTGCTTTCAACAAACTAAAAGAAACACTCACCAGTAGTAAGGTCATATTTCAACCCCAACAAACCAACAGAAATCAGTAGGGCTAGGAGCAATCCTTAGGAGCTATCGTGAGACTGATAGAGAATATCTAGCTGTTTTAAAACCCATTTCATGAACAACAGAAAACCCACCACAGCCAGGTTAGAGAGATCAAATATATCTTGGCCTAATCAAATTCAAAGCTTGACTACAAGCACATTAATGACAAATGCAGGAGAAACAATATCAATTAATACATTTTTCTATTAAAATATACTGGTAATAGAAATAAAGACCTTCAAGGAATTTTTTTAGGATGGACTTATCCTCAGAAAAATCAATCTATCAGCCATTGCCCACCAGGCTAAACAATACAAAACAATGCATCAGAACAGAAACAAAATATAAACTCTTGGTGGTCCTTTTCCTTCAGACTTAAATAATCTTTCAACGAAACTGACCTTTTTTCAATTTTGAGTTTGGCAACAACACAAAAAAAAATAAGAAGCAAATGGGAGGGGGAAGCTTCATGGCCACTATAAAAACATTAGATTGCAACAATAACTACCCACATTTCTTCGGATGTATGGGGCATATACTTCAAATTGAAAGTCGTTAAAAAAATCAAACCTAATCATTTACAGAAAAGGAAGACCTGCCTCTCAACACTTGGTTTTGTTCTATTCTTTAAACATTTAACACGCAACTCATCCCAAAAATAAAAAGCTCATTGTTTTTGAATAGAAGAGGATGAAAATGAGTCTGAGAGACACACCATTTAGTAAACAGTTTGAACCGAGACTTCATCTTTAACCCAAGAGATCGTCTCCTGACAACACTCCAGACCATTTACCTAAAAGACTAACAATAAAAAAAAAAAACGTCAACTTGAAGTCCTCAAAAAGTAAGGGAGGATTTTGTGTCCATTAATAAACTATATTCAGCTTTAGTTGAATTTTTTTTTAGTAAAAAACTCAATATCATATACTGCAACAATAGCTTTTATGGTTTTTAATCATTTAACTTTGTTTTTTATTATTCTTTAAACATTTGGTGTCACATGTTTCATTGTTTTTACAGATGTTAGCAGTATTTAGTAGTAGTAATATCGTGAATTTTTATCAGATAGAAATCAAAAATATATAAAGATTTAGGATTTTTATTTTCAATTTTCTTTTTAATCATTCAATAAAAATTTTGGAGCTTGTGAATTTTAGAAACATTTAAGTTAAAATGGTGTAATTTTCAGGCCTGTTTCCAAGGTGGAATGGGGTGTAGATTAGCTCTCCCAGAAAATAATTTTCTGGACCCACCTCATGTGAAAATAATGTGAATTTTAGTGAATAAATCCTTACTTGCCTTCCATCAATTACCCCTCCCCCACCACCACCATATTCAAACATGCCCGATAATTTGAAAACCAAGTAAATAGTCTCTTGGAGATGAAAGTAATGAAGAGATAAGAAAGATTGCAATCAGGGAGGGTAAAAAAAATATCTTACCTAGTAAATCCTTCAAGACCCATCTCAGTTCTTTCATTCTGGTTGATCATGAAGTTGTCAATGTCACAGAGACATTGGTAAATAGAAGATGAAAGAGCCACACTCAAATTTCGCATCATCCATACAATTCCCGTCTGACAGCTGAGGCCCGGAGGGATAGAGAATTCAACAATAGAGTGTAGAAGGTCTTGAGTGAGACTTCGAAGATATTGGATAGGGTCAGCAATCACAGTTTTAGAACTGGCAATGCTGGCTGACAATAATGGCAGCGTGGTTGGGAAAGGCAGGGGTGAAAGCAGTTGCTGCTGTGTGCGTTCTTGTTGCAACTCTTGCAGCAATAACAAAAGCTCCATCTGCACAGAAGCTAGTCCACCAACCCCAGAGCCTTGTAGGATGCAATAGCTAAGGAGGGTCCGCAGCAGTTGCTGGTTGGTCTTCAGCCATTGTTTGCGTCTTGCTGTCCGTGATAATTTCGCTTCAAAGTTCATTTTGTCTGCTTGAATGATTTGGTGAAGAGATGGACGAGATTCTTTTCTTGTACCTCCTGCTTCACTCAACGTATCAGAATCCTGGCTTAGGTCAAGATTTGCTGTGACAATTTAAATAAAAAATGAATATAGAAAATTAGTAATATGTAAATTCAGACATGTTTGAGAAAAAAAAAGGCCCATCAGAAAATGTCAAAAAATAAAATAAGGACTATTAGTGCTACATGCAAAAAAGATGAAAGCCATGTACCATGTAAAAATATAACAAAAAGTCTAATTTGAGTTTGATATAAGGAAGAGTTTGCCCCCCACCCACGACTTATATTAGAATTTCATAAATTAAAATTTTTTTAAATTGATTGATGGTTTGCTAATTAATTAACCTGTAGCTGGGTGGAAGAAGAGGAGGATTCATACCTAATCAGAATTTGATAAATAAGAAATTATAATGTGGATATAAAATGGGGGAGCAATCCTATATTATAATCAATATATAAACTGATCATTCACTTTGTGGCCACAGGAGTTTCTATATATTTATATTCTGGAGAATATAAATAATTCTAAAAGACATGCATGTGTAAATAATGAGCATTTAATTGAGTAATTGATTCATTTTCAGCAGCTTATCAACCTTTTGCAGATTATTTAAAGCCAAAAAATCCTTTATTTTATTGTAAGAACTTTTTTGTCGGGTGGAGATAATAATGACTTAGTGATACAAATCTTACTAATTAACCCATAGCAGTGGGGAGAAGAGGTGGATTGCTACCTTTCCAAATATTATTTCCACATAAATAAACATAACAAACCCAATTGGAATTGAAACTTGGCTCTCTGATTAACAATTCTGATCCATTATATCCATTACACCAGCCACACATCCATGCTTGCAGCACCTGGTATTCCCATGCAGTCACCCATCTAGGTATAGACCAGGCTCAACATTGTTTAACTTTGGTGATCATATGGGAACCGATGCCATTTCTTTTTTTAATGTCTGGACATTGCTCTTCACAAATTCTTTTTCTTTAGTATCGCTGAATTGTCATGACTTTCTTGGTAAAGATGGTAGAGTGATTTTTTTTCCATTGCCTTCTCCATGGTTTTGGACTCAGGGTTGTATTCACAGCACAATGAAGACTTTGTTTCATTTTGTGTTGACTCTGGTTTTAAGTCTTCAGCGCCCAACACTATGTCATAGATTGCATCTATGGCAGACAATTTTCTTTTTTTTTATCTCATTTTATTATATAAGTGACAGTAGTTACAGCATTGTCTCTAGGAGGATTAATTTAGTGATCTGATTTTTATGGTTTATCAACCCTTTATGAATTATTTAAAGCTGAAACATTTTGGATTGTAAGAATTATATTTTTTTAGTGAATATTGCATTAACAAGTTTTTGAGAATAACAATGATTTTTCCAGAGAAAAGTTCTACTATTTAACCCATAGCTGTGAGAAGGAGATGGCTTCATACTGTTTTTAGGAAGACACAAAAAGTTAGGGGGAGAGGATTGGGAGAATGTATGTCAATTTATTGGCTAGAATTTTATTGTCACTACTACTAAGGAATTCAGATGCAGGAATCATGTTAACATTTCTAATTCTTGCAGTAGTCTGAGTGACTTTGTGCCTTTTTGGTATTATATTAAAAACTTAAGTGCAATCAGTCCCTATCAGAATTCCACATAGACTCAGGTTTGCATAAAAAATGTTCAAAATATTTGTTTGGAAATAAGTTTTAGTTAAACCAGAGAAAGAGAAGATAAATGTGATGATATGAGAAGGGAAAGAAAAATATTTACACAAAAGAGATAATATAAGTTATTTACAAACAACATGTTTTGTCATAATGTTTGCAATCTTTTTGCTGTAGGAATCCAATCAATTGCTGTAACTTCATTCCATTCCAATATTTCCTTTCAGGTATTAATCTCCACTCTTAGCCTCCTTTCAGCCACTTGTCTTTCAAGTAGATAGCTCTATATAAATCTTAATTATCCACAAAACATTTAAGAGGGATATCTTTTTAGTTTTAAATATACATTTGAGCTATTTAGCAACTTAACAAGAGCAGCCCACCCCATATTCCGTGGTCTTTGGGTGTTGGTCATGAGCTTGGAGAAGAAATGGGTGCTGCCAAGATATCTGAAAGCCCACTGAAAGGATCATGAGGAAGAAGAATCAAATTCTGTTTCTGCTGCCCTCACGTACCCCAATGATAGAAACATAAAAAAATAAATAAAAAATTAATGGTTGTTAAATTTACAAAAAAGAATACAAACCATCCATTAAGGAATGGTGGGTTGCATCACCACCATAACTGCATAAAACTCTCAGGGACTCCACCTCCTTTTCCAGCCAGATGTACAGTTGGTATCGTAGCTGACCACCATCAACTTCAAACCCAGTAGCCAAAGTACGTAGTTCCTCCATCATTACTTTCAGACAAGCAATAAACTTGTACTGCTGAGCCATAATGTCTACTGCTGTTACTTTATTATCCTCTCCATACTCTTCATCTGCGTCTTTAGCTGGGACAGAGTTCTTGCGGCTGCTTCCTTTGGTGGCACAGTCAGATTCATTGTCTGACCTTTCAGAGCCCATCTCAAAGTTTAGATCAAGTTTGTCATCAAAGTTGGTGTTCATTGAACTTACGGGCATACTCCAATCAAAGTCAACAGAATGTTGGTGGGACAGAGACTGCAAGGGTTGACTCCAATCATAGCTGTCAGCTGTTTCCCCAAACTGGGACACCTGACTCAGGTCCATTGGGGGAGCAGGCATTTTCAGCGATGACCTCCGTGCAAAGACTTCCTGCCGAGAAAACTTGCAAGGGCTCTCTATTTCAATCACTTCCTCGTAATCAACCAAAGGAGGTAATTTAGAGATAACTTCTAGGGCCAGCAGGGGACAGCCGTTCTTAAAGTGGGCATGTGCTGTTGTAAAGAACAACCGACGTTCCACAGGTGTAATGCGATCGTCATGGTTGCTGTTCTTGTCTCGGACACTGATGCTGTTGTTCTGCGTGATCAGTGCCATTTCAGATGCTTTGCTCACTTTATTTTGCCGGATGATAAGTGGGTGGGCCCGCAGGAAGTTGTAGAAATTAAAAACACTTGGGCTTGTGAAATATTTCTCTCCCTCGTCTTGCTCCTCTAACATTCTGCCAGCACCGACACCGGTTTGTAGAAGTGTCTGGAGTGCACCATCATGGTCTTTGAGCATCCAAAGAACAATACTACGCAAGAATGGGTCGGGATGTGCCTTGCTCGGTAGGTAGTTTTGGCCAGACTCGTCACATCCAAGGATGTGGGTGAAGAGAATCTTTTTGGCACTTTCTGGTAGCACATCTCCGCCATCATAAAGACGACAAATGACTAAAGCCAATTGAATGTCATTTAAACGATCAAGGCAAACCTAGGAGAGAAAAGAAAATAAAGACACTTCAATTGATGTCAGTCTGCTGGTTTACATGTATGAAAATGGATTTATCAATATGATATAAAAATGTTTAACTGAAACAGTTTATTATTTGCTTTGTTATTTGGACCATAATGCTGATCTTGATTGTTATACTCACAATGTTTCAGCCATAGTACTCTCTGGCCTTCTTCAGGTATCTCTCTTTGTACTCAGTAAACATCTTGGAATTTGAAACTGAACGGGGCATATTGTTCTCATTCCGTTTTTCATGCTTTGGAGATATTCTGTATCAGTACTCATCAGACTTATTCACTCTTGAGTTTTTTTTTTGTTTCTTCCACTGAGCCAGAATATGTGACTTTTCAGCACTGCCATACACAAGGATTGAACTAACAACTAGCAGGGAACTTCATACATTTTAACCAATGCTTTAATCCATGAGGCAATATGTCTCTTGTATCACTATGACAATCAAAACGATAATGCTGGTCATAATAGCAAAGCATATAATAATAATAATTCTTCATCTGAAAATTTCTGACAAAACATAATAGATCAAATATAATAATTTATTATCTAAATAAAAAAAATATGGGACAAAAATAGTTATTGAAATATCCTCCCATATGAATTTTTTCCTTGATTAACTATTTCACAATAGAGACATATCAACTTTACATTTTAAACAAGATAACCCACACAAAAAAATATTCATATCAACATTACATTTTCAACAGGATACCCAATCACACCAATCCCACCAAAAAACCCCAAAATATTTATATTAACCTTACATTTTGAACAAGATACCCACCCTACCAAAAAAAGGTCACTAATTCAAAGACTTGACCAAATCTTACCTCAATGGCATCAGATAAGGAATTACCAAGCAAAAAGAAAGCAGCAGCATGCAGGAATCTCTGTCGTCCTAAGAGAGCAAATGCATTCTTCAGTGCAGCTTTTCTCCAACGTTCCTCATTGAAGTTGTTATGAAAAAAGTCACTCATTTTCTTGTCATTGACAGATCTGTAAAAAGATAAGAACACACAAACAATATAAAAGCAAACAAGCTTTGCTTTTAATACTTAGCTAGTGGGGATGTGTGGGCAGTGTAACTATTATTGGAGCCAAACATGTGATCAGTGAGCTGAGTTCAAATTCCAGTCAAGTAAGTTGTATCCATTTTCCCACAAATGCTCTTAAAAAAGCATGAACCTATCTATTAATACTCCAGCTGTGTATTAAATAGCAGAGTAGACTAGAAGTTTTAGCCTTGAATGGCATCCACTCTAAGAGAAGAAAACTCTTGGAGAAGTTAATGAAAAACCACGACACTATTTTTCCCCAAGTAGTCATGGCAATTCACAGATAATAAAGAAAAGGAATCTGTGGAGAGCCATGATCACCTGTTCTGAAGGGATATAACATTTAAAAAAAAAAAAATAGTGTGATAAACAGCTCCCAGGTAAGTCAATGTGATTCCTGTTCCATAAGCAATTCTCTATCAAGTCAAAGTGATTCCACTTCTATAAACAGTTCCCTATTGAGTCAAAGTGACTCCTCTTACATATGCTGTTGAATTAACTCTTATTCTATAAATAGTTCCCTATCAAATTGAAATGACAACTCATTCATAAATAGTTCCCTATAGGATTGAAGTAACCCCTCATTCATAAATAGTTCCCTATTGTGATGAAGTGACTTCTTCTATAAAATAAGACAAAATAAAGTAAGAGTTAATTTTCTTTTTATCAATTTCATCAATGTTTTCTTTATGTTAACAGATATGTTAAGGAGAATTCATTACATAAAAAAGAGCATCAGAAATGAAGAAAATATACTATTTAACATAGGTACCTCCACGAAATCGCTAAAAAAAAAGAGCATAGCTTGATGAAAAAGATGCCAACCTTGCCGAAAACAAAATTTTATCATCTAAATGCTTATGTTATTATTAAGAGGAAAGACCCAAGTTTTTTTTAATTATTTTAAAAAAATTTTCCTCCTTTTATAACATTCTAAATTTTGATTAAAAAAAAAAACTTTGTTTCTCTTTGTATCACCGGAACTAGTAAAATAACAGACAATTTTTAGCACATTTTTTTGGTATGGCACACATTAATTTGGAAAATCTTGCAAAAATAAAAATAATTGTCGGATGTTAATGAAACTTTCAGGAACTATTCACAGATGATCGAAATTATTATAAATGTTTTTTTTATTAAAGTCATGACAAAAATATTTTTTTTATATTTATTATCCCCCCATAACTAATTTCATGAAAACGCTAGAAATTCGATCGCACCGGGTTTAGTGATTACAATAGTTAAAAGCACAAGGCTTTGAGGAATGCAAATCATGTTTTTTTTGTTTTTAATTGGAACACCTGAAAATCAACTCTGAATTGTAACATACAAAACTCAATAAAACAAAGATATTATTTAATTTCAAATGCTTTTATTTGCTTTTAGTTGTTTTTATGAATATGGACAATATTTTCTGAAAGCAAAAACTTTTTTCGATGAAAAATGAATTTTTAATACAATTATTT